CCTATGGATAATGCATTTATAATCTGGATACATTTCAGTTGGCAACTACTTGGCCTGTTTGTGTTTATATAACATAAAAATGAGAATATAACTTGATAAAACCTATCAACTGATAAAGATAGAGCATAAGATCAGTGACAACATTTGCTGATTTTCTGTCTAAGAATAAAAGAAGGAAAAAAACTTGTTCAGGTTTCAAGTTTAGGAAGACAGCCTGATCTGACCACGGCGGTCCATGCCTTAGTTACATCTAGAATAGATTACTGCAATGGACTCTACATGGGGCTGCCTTTGAAGACAACTTGGAAACTGCAATTGGTGCAAAGAGTGGCAGCCAGGTTTCTAATGGGGGAATAATTATAGGGAGCCTATGACATCCCTATTGAAGCAGCTCCAATAACTTGCCAGGCTCAATTCAAAATGCAAGTTATTACCTATAAAGTTCTACCTAGTTTAGGTCCAGCCTATCTTTATGATTACATCTCCCCTTATGAACCGATACAGGCTCTAAGATCTGCCGGGGAGGCCTCCTCTCACACCATCTCAAGCGTGGTTGGTGTGGACGAGGGAGAGAGCCTTCTTGGTGGTGGCCCCCTGCTCTGGAATGCCCTCCCCTTAGGAACTTAGGCAAGCCCCACACTGCAGCACTTTTGAAAAGAACTAAAAACTTGGTTCTTTCAACAGCCTTTGATAATGCTTAAGATAGCAGCCAGACTATTCTTTAGCCAAGGAAAGCTAAATCGATTGCATGGATTTTTAATCAATGACTATTGCTAGATTTTATTTTTGTCAATTTTATATGTCTGGTTTTAAATATATTATTGTATTTTTAATGTTGATACACTGTATTTTATATGTGGTGTGGCATCATGTGTGCTATTTGTAAACCTCGCCGAGTCCCTATGGGAGATTGTAGTGGGGTATAAATAAAAGATTATTGTTGTTGTTATTATTTTAACATATGTACATATAAACCACATAGGCAGAGCTAAAGTAATCCTGGTGCATTAGATGATACTTGATAAAAAGGTAGTATGGAGAATTCTAAAATGTGTACATTAAACAAAGATATCTGGTATATAAAATATAAAAACAAGATCTAGGCTTCTGATTGGATAATCAATGTGTTCTGTGATTGGCTGGAGAGAATAAAAGAACTAAGCTAGAGCCATGAAAATGAAGCTGCTTTTAGCATGCCTTCAATGCTACCAAAGATGCTGTTTGAATAAATGTTTATTCCAGACCTGTACACCATGCAGCCCACGGGCCACATGTAACCCGCACAAGCCGTTGGTGTGGCCCACAGACCGCTGCCTCTGCCCACTGCCAAGGGTGGGAGAAAGAAAGAAAGAAAGTTTGGGAAAAGAGAGGGAAGGAGGAAGGGAGGGGAAGGGAGGAGAAATAAAGAAAGGGAGATAGGAAAAAGAGAGGGAAGGAAGGAGGGAAGAAGAAATAAAAAAGATAGGAAACAGAGAAGGAAAGAAGAAAAGGAGAAAGAAAAGTAGGTAGTGAAAATAGAGGAAAGGAATTCAGAAAGCATGGTGTAGTGGTTGGACCTTGGGTTACAGTTCTGTGGGTGACTTTAGCCAAGTCATACTCTCTCAGCCTCAGAGGAAGACAAAGGCAAATCCCCACTGAATAAATCTTGACAACTCTGTGATAGTTAAAGTCTGAAATGACTTGAAGGCACATAAGAACAATTCCAATTAATCATTCATTATACTTTATTTGGAAAGTGAGGTGCTAAAAATGTATTTGTGGCCCCAAGAAGCTTGGCCTATTTAATTTTGGTCCCTTACTATTGAGTTGTGCAGGCCTTGTTTATTCCTAGTAGCCTCAACATGCTGCCATAATACACTGATTCATGATGGTAATGCTAGGTTAGATATATACCTACATGTTATTACTAAATATTTGTTCAAGGATTGCTTAAGGAGATTAACCCTTGAAGACAGTTAATAAGATGGTAGTTTGTCCTGGATAAGAAGTCATGTGTTAGGACAAGACGTCCTGATGAACGTCTTGACTTATAATAGGATACCTTATCTTCAAAGTTAGGAAATGCAATGAAGGTGAAGTACCAAAAACATTGCTATTTGCTCATAACATACTATCTAATATTTTTCTTTGCAGGCTTTCTGCCTCTGGTTCATAACCAGATGTTATCTTGATAGTATGGATTAGCCAGATGTATGCTCATAGTTTAGGATCAAATCCTAAAGCAAATTGAACTTGCTCAGTATGTACCTCAGGTTTAGAGAACTGCTTGTTCCCAAACTCATAATCTGCCTGCGCAGTCCAGCGTTGGTCCAGAACATGCCCCGCATCACTGAAAGCATTGTTTGTTCAGTGTTGAAGGTAGTGCAATATAAATAACTGGTCTTCAACAGCAAGTGGGTGTTTCACTTTTAAAGAAACTCCAGGAGAATCAGTAACAGTCCAAAAGATTTTCATGAAATGTGATTTAATTAGTCTTCATTTTGGCATGCCCCTTTTGATGTCAAGTTAAATTAGCTTCCTAGTGCCATTTTAAAAATACTATGTTTGGCCAATGAATAAAGCTTTAATGCTGATCTAGTAATCATGTGTCCAGCAAACGCTCCACAACGTTGGAAGCACGTCTTGATCAGTGTTTTAAAAATACTCTTTTAAAAAAGAAAGGAAGTGTCTACAGTTAAAAAAACAACAACAAAATAATAGTTTTCTCACCCACCTTTATTTAATTTTGAAGTGATCAAGGGAAGCAATTCCTCAGTTTAATTTCCACCACTTTATCAATGCTAACATTTTTTAGACTTAACTTTTGTGCAAATCAAAGGGAACACCTTCTTTAACTTAGGGAGTATTTGCACATGACTTCAAAATCATGTGTCAGGAACAACTTGAGAAACTGCAAGTTGCTTCTGGTGTGAGAGAATTATCTGTCTACAAGAATGTCTGGATGTTTTACCATCCTGTGAGGCTTCTCTCATGTCCCTGCATAGGAAGCTAGAGCTGACAGGGGGAGCTCACCAGCTCCCTGGATTCGAACTGCCAACCTTCAAGTCAGCAGTCTAGCCGGCACAAAGGTTTAATCCATTGTGCCATCACTTTAGTATACTATTAGTATATATTTGTGTACCATGAGTACACTTTACTCCAGTGGGACCATTTCAAAGCTACCTTACACTTCAATTGCAGCAGATAAAGATTCACTACAAAAAGGGCTGTGTCTACATTTGCTGGTTAATTTGGGATCGGTCTTGAGCAAAAATACTCTGGAGCAGCCTTGGGAGTTAGCTATACTCACTATCCCAAACTCCTACATCAAAGCAGTGGATCAAAGTCTTAGATTTTTTTTTAATATCGTGTCAGGAGCGACTTGAGAAACTGCAAGTCGCTTCTGGTATGAGATAATTGGCCATCTGCAAGGACGTTGCCCAGGGGACGCCCGGTTGATTTGATGTTTTTTTTTAATCATCCTTGTGGGAGGCTTCTTATGTCCCCGCATGAGGAGCTGGAGCTGATAGAGGGAGCTCATTCACCTCTCCTCAGATTTGAACCTGCAACCTGTCGGTCTTCAGTCCTGCCGGCACAGAGGTTTAACCCACTGCGCCACCGGGGGCTCCAAAGTCTTAGATGAGTCCACATTGAGCCTACTGGATTGTCCCCTTATTGTATGTGTCACTGTTGTTGTTCCCAAATGGTCAACTCTTGATTGCCGGTGCCCCACACTGACATCAGCAGAAACACCAGTGTAACCAGGAAGAAAGAGGAATCCCATCTTCCCAGCTTCTTCCTGATCACATGGGCGTCTCTTCTGATGTCAGCACTTCACAATGGCAATGGTCAGGAATGCACATAGAGCTTTGCGACTGTCTGGGAGTGGTGGCAATGGCACAATCCACCCTCTTTTCCCTGCACTGATGAGCATTAGGAAACGAGGATAGTTGCAGTGCCGGATGTGAGCAGTGGATTGATCCAAATTGGACCCAATCCTGTTGTCCACACTGCCCCCAAAGCCATGTTTTAGGCAAACTTTAGAGCCTTAGCCCAACTTTTCTGGATGTGGACCTAAACCAGATTAAAAGTTTACACCATGATACCTACTGGAAGTGCAAAAGTGTCATGGGGACAGCCAGGATTGACCTCTTGAGGGCCTCATCACACTAGAGAAAAAATCAACTTAAAATCCGGTTTCTGCCTCCTGCAGAATTCTGTGGTTTGTAGTTTAGGGGAGACAGCCTTTAACAGCCTCACGAAATGACAAACCCCAGAATTCTGCAGGAGGCAGAAACTGGATTTTAAGTGAATTTTTTTCTCTAGTGTGTTGAAGTGTACTATGGATAATGGTATGGATAATATTGCTCATGTAGTTGAGGCCAAGAAGTGATAGCTGCTTCCAACTGCCTAGGCTGTAGATACATCATACGTGCAATATTAAAACATTTCGTGTTTTATGTGTAGCCACTAAATTTTACTATGCAAATTTTTCTTTTTGGGAAAGGATAAAACCAGTTATAACACTGAAGTATTTGGGTTAGCATAAACATTGCAACATTTGGGGGTCTGGTTAGAGCTACTAACCTGGTAAAGAAGGAGGCATAAGGTTATGAGGAGCCATTGGATCAGGCAAAGGTACTCTGGAGCTAATGAAGCCATACTCCTAATGAAACATAAATGTTCCTCTGCAATCAAGAAGATTGTATAGCCTAAGGTCAGTTTGCTAAATGTGCAGCAATAAATAAGGCTCCTGCTTATGCTTTTTTCTTAGGGGGACAGAGAGAAGAAAACAAAATTGAACCAGTGTATACAGTAACAGAAGTGAGATTCTTTTATTTGTTCAGCAAGAAATCGCAGTGTATGTTCAAGGTGGAATCTGAGAAAGCTAAAAAAGAAAGAAAAAAAGAAGGAAGGAAGGAAGGAAGGAAGGAAGGAAGGAAGGAAGGAAGAGAAGCTAAATCACATCCTTTAAAGTATTACAGATCTGATAAATGTTGAAGGCACACATACACCAAAGATTAAATATTCATTGAGAAAACTTTATTAGTGGCTTAGCATTTAGGGTATTTAAAAAATTATAACAGCCTCTTTTATGACATAAGTAAAGGATAATGGGTTCATTGATTTTAATTTTGATAAGGAATTCATGAAATACTCATTGTTATTTGAATTTTAGGTTAACTGGCAGGGTTTTTCTTGGACATCTCCTTGTGGGATCAGCCACACTCTCTTATCTTCAATTTAGCATTTCGTACAGTACTAAATCGTCGGCCTTTATACATACCCTTTACCCTTTTGACATTGCTATACATTAGCCTTCAAAAACTACATACTCTACTCACACAAAAACAATATTGTCTCAGTTATTTTTCTCTGTCATTCCAGAGCACTAAGATGATGTCTCAGTTCCAAGCAAGGGCTCTTTCCAATACAGGACGATTCTCAGCACAGAAGAGGACCACCACAAAGTTACCATTGAAGCAGCACACTGTGCAATGATTGCATCCATCTCAGTTTCTTTCTAAAAAAATATCCTCAGCCATCAATATACACACCTTTAAATATAAAAAGTTGATGAAAAAAGGGCTTTGTATTAAAGCCGCTTTTCTAAATACCAGATTGTTTTGCAGGAATGGAAGACTAATGTATTTCAATTGTAATTATTATATTGTTGCCTCTACAAAACCAAAAAATAATACAATGGCCTAGAAATGTGTACTCTGGGCACACACTTGGATGTGAACAAAAAATTGCGGTGGATATATAATAGCTCTTCAAATCTGCCACTGCATTTTTAATAGCAAATTTGAGGGAGCTATGCCGATTGTGTACTTGTGTATTCACATATTCATGTCCTCAATATTTGTCTAGAAATTTTAGCACAGCAAAAGGCAAGGGCTTAGTCCAGTGGTTCTCAACCTTCCTAATGTCATGACCCCTTAATACAGTGATCCCCAAACCATAAAATTATTTTTGTTGCTACTTCATATTTTGCTACTGTAATTTTGCTACAGTTATGAATTGTAATGTAAATGTAATCGTAATGCACAAAATACATGTATTTCATTCATTGCACCAAACATGGCACAAATACCCGATATGCCCAAATTTGAATACTGGTGGGGTTGGGGAAGAGATTGATTTTGTTATTTGGGAGTTGCAATTGCTGGGATTTATAGTTCACTTACAATCAAAGAGCATTTTGAACACCACTAATGATGGAATTGAACCAAACTTGGCACACATAACTCCCATGACCAACAGAAAATACTGGAATGGTTTGGTGAGCACTGACCTTGAATTTTGAAGTTGTAGTTCACCTAAATCCAGAGAGCATCGTGGACTCAAACAATTATGTATCTGGACCAAACTTGGCAGATACTCAATATGCCCAAATGTGAATACGGGTGGGGTTACGGGGGGATTGATTTTGTCATTTGGGAGTTGTAATTGCTGGTATTTATAGTTCACAACAATCAAAGAGCACTCTGAATCCCACCAACGATAGAATTGGGCCAAACTTCCCACACAGAACCCACATAACCAACAGAAAATACTGTTTTCTGGTGGTCTTTGGCGACCTCTCTGACACCTGTGAAAAGATCCTCAACTTATTCACAGGTCATATCAAAATCCAAAATTTTGGTCCCAAAACTTGCCCTTGACATATACACAAGGCTGACTTATAAATTAGTATAAATGATATTTCAAAGAGGGGGGGAAAGAGGTTCATTGGGTTTCAGGTGTTGTTTTAAAAAACCTGCTGCCCACAAGGGTAATAAAAAAACAAGGTCCACGAAACCCTGCCTTTGCAAACATTGGAGCAAATGAAACAACAGCTATGGCCTTTGTTTTGTATACTTGTGGGATGGAGAAAATGTCAGCTGTCACCATCTATAAAGGATTTGTGTTTTAAAAATGATGAAAAGGTAAAAAAGAGATAACTTCCTTATCTCCAACATTTGAAACTCAAACATCTTTTCTCTAAATTATGTCAGAGTTTTGAGTGGGATCTTGCATCCTTCCCCAAACTGTACCAAATACTTACACTGGACATATATAACCTAGCTTTCACTGGAATGAACAGATATGACAAATCTTCCTTTGGAATAGGACAATAAAAATGCTACTTTTGCCCAAAACCAAAATCCTTTTAGCCAAAAGACTCAACACCACAAATAGGTCTTAAAACACAAACTACTCATATTTTGTCCCTTGGGAAATGTGGCACTTTATATCCCACAAAAAGGATTAAGCCCATGAGAAAATTGTGACTTCCAGTCTATATGAAATAGTTTGTTCCACTCTTAACTTTAAAATAGAGTTAAACTACAACACTTTTAGGTCTCATTGGTTTCCATGTGAGAATCAGGCATGGCTGCATAACCACATCATACCTGTTCCTGAACACTGTTGCTAGTAAAAAAAAGTTTTTCATTGTTATTGGCATTGTAAATAATAATGAAAGCTATAACAGATTCTCTCCTTGCCCACAAAACATCCATCAAAAAGCATGCTGATGGGGATAATTATTAAATGAAATTCATTACAAAACATGACACTGAGGAAGGATCCGAAATGTCTAAATGAAAAGGCAGTGAAGCTGCTGTGAAGCTTATTAATTGGAGATGAATTCAGTTAGGACCATCACAAAGTATCAGCTGATGAAGGCTAGTTAAAGGAGTTTAAAATGGCTTCCCCAAGAGTTTGTCAGCTTCTTGGTAGAAGAAGCTCATTTTCCACTCTCACAAAACAGATGTCAAAACTCCAAACCCACAAGTGAGGTGTTTTAGCTTGAATAGTTTCATGGACATTTCATGTTTGAGTAAGTATCATCCATTAGTGATTAAGAAGAACGTTTAAGTGTGTCATTTCCTCTGCTTCAAAGGCTTCCAACAATGGTGTCAATAGCTGCACCAGACGTTTTCCACTGGGCATTAAATTCACAAGGGTAGGCTTTGTTTCCTTTTTGTAATTGTCCATTTCCCTTTTCAAACGACAGAGTGATCATTACTGTGTACTCCAGTCAAGATGGAGTGATTGAGTGAAGAGGCAGAACGGTCAGAGCCTTCTGTTGGGCCATTGGCATTTTCGGTACGCTGGCAGCAAAGAATCTGTTTGAAAGTAGCACTCATTTCCTTGTCCCGATAAGAGTAGATGATGGGGTTCATGGCAGAATTGAACTCGGCAAGCAACAAGAAGAACTTTTCATATGCCAAGACATTGCACTGTGGGCAGCAAACATCAAGGAGAAGCAAGACTAATCCTGGAGTCCAGCAAATTATAAAAGCACCTGGAAAGGATAAAGAGAAAAATATTTATTTTTCTGCATGCAAATCACCTTGCACTTTTTCAAGGGTTTCAGTAGAATGCATAAAGTTTTGTTCCCATTTTAGCTTTATAACAGCTTTGTGAATTAAGGCACACAAAGCATCTGAATTGTCACAGAGTAAAATACGCTATAATAATTATTTATTATTATTATTGGGCCCCCTGGTGGTGCAGCAGGTCAAACAGCTGAGCTGCTGAATTTGCTGACTGAAAGGTTGGCGATTCAAATTACAGGGGCGGGGTGAGCTCTCTCTGTTGGGCCCAGCTTCTGCCAACCTAGCAGTTTGAAAACATTCAAATGTGAGTAGATCAATAGGTACAGTTTCTCCAGCCACATGACCTTGGAGGTGTCTATGGACAACACCGGCTCTTCGGCTTAGAAATGGATATGAGAACCACCCCCTGGAGTTGAACATGAGTAGACTTAATGTCAGGGGAAACCTTTACTTATTATTATTCATATTGTATTTATTTATACCCCACAATTTAAAATATAAAATTATGCAAACATTAATAGGTAATCAATAAAATGTACTTACATCTGTATTTCTAAACTACTTAGACTAGTATTAAACATTGCACAACTGTGATTAAAGTAGTGAATATTCTGATTTAATTTAGAAAGAGTTTTGTTTCCACATCGAAAAACAAGAAATGTTTGATATGAACAAAACACACGGTTCAATATAGGGGTGAAAATCACACAGCCCTCTAAATGTTGTTGGACTTCAGCTCCCAGCATTCCTCAGTGTTGACTGCATTACTTAGGACTGCTGAGTCTTGCAATTTGACAGTATCTGGAAGATCATATGATTCTGACTCATGATTTAACAGGACAAGGATAGAAACAACATTTAACAACCCCCCACCCAGGTATAAAAAATGCATTTTAACTAAAATGTTAATAATGACTTAAGGTCTTTTTCCAACTTCCCTTAGAAAGATGATTCACCCTGTTTATTACCTCATGAAATGGGAACGTGCCTTTCCCGTCCTCTCAGATTTATATCATTAGCAGTGAGAAAGAATAGTTTGCCTGCAATGTGCTAATCAATTTTAGATCTTTGTTTAACTAAACAATACTTGGACACATTGCATTTTGGAATTGAAAATGCTATTTCAATGGCTTCATTTTCTTCTTCTCAAAACCCTATTCAGCAGCAACCAATTGAGGAACCTTTTGTTTTCTCTATCAATGCAGCACAGACAAATTAGCATAGTTATGATTGACCAAGACTACTCTTTCTGCTTCCTCCTGTACTGCATACCGCTCAAGATAATGTGGCATATAAAATATTTAACTAGTTTACTAAATGTATATCACAGTTTCCTCCCAGCACAGGGTGGTTTACAACGAATTGAAACAGCTCAAATGTTGGCAGGAAACTGTATTTATTTTACTAAATAAGGGGTTAGGTTTACTAGTAAGCCACCCCGAGTTCCCTTGGGGAGAGGGGGTAGGATATAAATAAAGTATAATAATAATTATTATTAGTGACACAGTGAGTTAAAAGGCCGAGCTGCTGAACTTGCTGATCAAAGATTGATAGTTCAAATCCGGAGAGTGGGGTGAGCTCCTGCTGTTATGCCTAGCTTCTGTTAACCTAGCAGTTCAAAAACATGCAAATGTGAGTAGATCAATAGGTACCGTTTCTGCAGGAAGGTAACAGCACTCCATGCAGTCATGCTGACCACGTGACCTTGGAGGTGTCTACGGGCAATGCCGGCTTAGAAATGGAGATGAGCACCAACCCCCAGAGTCGGACACGACTAGACTTAATGTTAGGGAAACCTTTACCCTTTACCTTTTATTATTATTAGTAAGCTTAGTAGAGTTATTTAGTTGGATCTGTAATGGTAGGATGCTGTGGTTTATGCTTTAATCAACAATGATGCTTTAAACCATGAGTTTTCAGAATGTTAGTTGTCACTGGCATCTTTGAGCAGCACTGTTCCATAGTAATCTGGTGATATCAACCCTGGGCTTTCATTATAAAAGAAATCTGCCCCAGCCTTTCAAGACCTGTTGGGTGTCTGGTCCAGAACATTATGGCAAATTGTTATCAGATGCAATTGTCATCTTCAAATAAACCTGGAGCTGACCGAGGAATAAAAAAGCCCAACAAAGAGATTCCTCTACCCTGGAATGATTTCTTTGTGTGAGAGAGGTTCAGCAATGGCAAAGGGAGTGTGTGAGAGACAGCCATTATGGATAATTCCCCTGGAATGTGAAATCACATAGAGAATGTTACAGGCTTTCTAGAAAGTTCAAGCCAGAGCTTGGAAAAGCCACTGAGAGATCTGGGGATTTGAAATCCAAAAGAATCTCTCAGTAGAGTGGTCATGTTGGCTGGAAGATTCTTGGAGCTGTAATCCAATAACTATCCCAAACTCTGTTTAGAACACATGTGGAGCAGATGAACAGAGGTGTCTTTGTAGGCAAATGGATGCAGAAAGGATTATCCATGAAAAAAGAACTTCGCACTCCAAATGTGTGAATCCCTTGGTCTAGCCCATTCACACATAGCAATGACATAGTCTTATTCCATAATCTTATTCCATATTCCATAATCCATAATCCAAAATCAATTGGTAATGCTCTCCAACAAACAGATGAAGAATCTCCAACACATTACATGTCTCATTATGCTTATGGGGTCAGAGATTGTCTGGTGACCAAGGAATGTGTCTGCCTCTTCCAATCCACCCACTGCTGGGAGTTGACTATTCTAAACTACACCATGTTCCAAAACATTTCTTCCCTTTCTTTGGAACACGAAAAGAGGATCAGTACTTTTCATGAATTACAAAAAAAGAGAAGAAAAAGAAAATGTTTGTTTCACTTGGACAAGAAATCAGTGGAGCAAAGCTGGAAAGAATGAGTGGAGGCTGCCAAAATAATAGTAATAGAAAAACACAATATAAACCGAGAAAAAGGAAAGGGAAGATTTGCTTTAAAAGTGATTTACTAAAATAAATAGTTAAACTCTTATGGTTTTTTTTGAATATGTTCTATGTCAGGTACGGGGAAACCCATCCTATCCTTCCTTCCTTCCTTCCTTCCTTCCTTCTCTCTTCCTTCCTTCCTTCCTTCCTTCCTTCCTTCCTTCCTTCCTTCCTTCCTTCCTTCCTTCCTTCCTTCCTTCCTTCCCTTCCCTTCCCTTCCCTTCCCTTCCCTTCCCTTCCCTTCCTCCCTTTCTTCTTTATCCCCCTCTTTCTTCCTCCCTCCTTCCTTCCCTTCCAAAGGGGGGTGGGGGGGATTGACTTTCTGCTGTTCTAGAGACCAGGGCACAAGGGAGCAATGGGTTCATATGGCAGGGAAAGAGATTCGACTGATTAGGAAGAACTACCTGAGAGTAAGAGCTGTTGGACAGTGGTGTAGGCTGCCTTGGGGTGTGGTGGAGTCTACTTCTCTGGAGGCTTTTCTGCAGAGGCTGTCTATTGGGAGTGCTTTGTGTCTTCTGCATGGCATGGGGTTGGACTGGATGGCCCTTGGGGGTCTCTTCTAGCACTAGGATTCTATATCAGGAGTAGGCAATACAGGGTCTAATGGATACACCTTTTCTCTCCCATCCTGGCCAAAGCCAGTCCCTTTGGGATCCAAATGTTTCCTGTATTTACTTCACTTTCTGCCTCCAAAAGAGAAGAGGAATGGGAGGAAAGAGCAGGGAAGTGGCTTGGGGAGAACCATGTGGCCCACGTTATAAAGTTTGCTCATGCCCGGTCTATGTTCTGAACTGGTATTGTCTTTATAAACCAAAAGAAGGTATCATGTTGTCTTCTCCCATCACTTCCAGATCCTTTGAACAAGGGATAATAATATATGAATATTTGCACACCTGAGCTTATTTATTAATGACATTTATTATATCCCATCATTTCTCAAATGTACTCAGGATGCCATACATGGCTCTCCTCTTCCCAAATGTATCCACACAACAACCATGTGAAATAGGTTAAGCTGAGGGCAAACTGCTAGTCCAATCTCACCCAGTATCTTTCAAATCCCAGCTGAGCAGTTTAATTCTGTCAACACTCGTTACTTTCCACTGTATCTTTGGTTCTGCATTTAAAAATATAATTTAAGCATCCAATGAAAAGAGGCAGTGAAATTTACCTAGGTAATGTAAATAAAACAAATGTAACAGTTGTTTTTTTTATCATGTCAGAAGTGAACTGAGAATATACTGCAAGTCGCTTCTGGTGTGAGAGAATTGGCTGTCTGCAAGGACGTTGCCCAGGGGACACCCGGATGTGTTACCATTCTGCGGGAGACTTCTCTCGTGTCTCCGCAGGAGAAGCTGGAGCTGACATTTGGGAGCTCACCCCGCTCCCCGGATTAAAACTGCCCACCTTCAGGTCAGCAGTTCAGCCGGCACAAGGATTTAACCCATTGCACCACCATGACCCAATGAGAACAATTTTCATTGTCTCACTCACTGTAATGTTAGAAAGTTCTGAACTAAAGAAAAAAAATCACTGGGGGGCATTATATGGAGAAGAAATATCCTATTTTTGCTCTTCTATATAACTATAACCCTTCATATGAGGCAAATAATAAACAATACATATACATTTAATATTTAAATAGGATCTAACATTCAAATTCTGGTGAACAAGAAAGCCTAAATATTCAAACAAGGCTACAAAATGACCTAACTCAAGGGTGGTACGCAGAATGCCAGTTTCAACTTCAGTCAACTCTCTTTACTGAACTCACGTCATATTTTGGGACTGGTTTTCTTCATGACTCAAGAGAATTAAGTTAACTTTCTTCAGCGAACAAGCTGAACTACTTAGATAAACAAGAAGCTTTAAAGATGACAGGCCAGCTCTAAATGAGATGGTCAGGATTTTCAATGGTATTTAAAACCAGGAAGATATGTGAAACTAATGTTATGAATGAATCCCAGCTGTTGGTCAAGACAATTTGAAATATTTATCCCCTGCAAAAGATATAAA